GTTATCCAAAGTCGTCGCCACAGCGTCCAGGCTACTCTCGGTCAAATCGAAGGTCTCGGAGACCACAACAGCCTACAGAGAAAAAGGCAAGAAAAAAATGAACTAAAATGAATTTTCTTGTTTCTACTATAAAGCTGACAGTTCGTGAATATCATTAGTAAGCAGAAAGACACAGAGGGCGAGAGGAAGTGTCGCCCAAAGATGAGGACCCACGAGCTTAAACTTTCAGAATGCAAATGCGATGGAAAACATGGTGAAAGGTGTGACAGCAATGAGCAGTGTATGGATTTTCGCCATTTATAGAGGAATACCGGTGAATCTATCTATTGGTTATCCGGCGCGTTCACCAGTGACAGAGAATCCAAAATTTTCAGTGAGGATTGACTTAAAAATCGATAACTCAAAACTGTTGAAGAAATAGTCGTAGTCCAATAGCGGCAGGACCTTCAGAGTGAGAGGCATTACGATATGGTACGCAGATTACCCTGTAAAATTACACAGAGTCCAATGACGAAATTGCGGCGTGGAAAACATGAACCGTTAGTAAACACACTCTCCCGGTTATTACCATTTTTCAGCCCTGACGTCCATAAAAGAAGGCCAAACTGACACCCTAGCGAGCCCGAAACGTACCAAAAGTCACAATCTCAAGTTCAAGTAAGCTGTTTCAGGACGACTGTCGACGCGTTCGGATCTACGTCAATGGACTGGATAGTACATACACGAGCTGATATGGCTGAAAAACGCAACCGCGCATCATATGCCCGGACTTGAGAACCCACACTGCTTCAAAAACGCAGATCCTAAACATCTTGCTGTTAGAGTAGTACAGTGTAGACGTCGCCTGCCAGATTATGTCTCGAGCAATATTAGAGTTGGAGGTATTAAGAAGACGGGTTACCTGTCACCCTAGCTGCTGACTACTTGGCGCATCCGCAGGTGGTGGATAATGTAACGGCCTTCAATGAAGGCTAGCTGTGAAATAAGGAGACTCTCGGGTGTGACAAATAAACAGTCGCGAACCAGCAGCGACAACGCTACCAGGGCGCGGTGGGCTGAGGCCTGGCACACTGAACGTCCCATAAAAAAAATCCGCAAAGCCCGATGACGGCATTGTGGCGTGGCGAGCGTAAACCTTCATTAAGTTTGCTTGCCACTGCTGCCTTGTGTTAAAAGGCTCCTGAGCCAAGATGCCAGAATAAACCTCAAACAAACAATCCCAGCGACTGTTGGGGACCCGCTCGTACTCGAAATTTGCTAGAAATCTCATAAAAATCTGCTTACGATTCATGCTATGGCGTCAGAGGGGAACCCAGGTGCTCTGCAACCTTAGTCCAGTGAGGCGGATAGATGAATGCGTGGAG